CTTTCTATCTGTCCCAATTTACAATCACCACCATTCCTGCAGTTTAATCTAGTTCTTTTTCGTTGATTATTCACGTTGGTGCGATTCCGGTCTTTTGCTCTTGCGGAAAGTAAAACAACGCATTCGATGGACGCTTGCTAGTCTGTTTGTACAACAATCTGATGGACATGATTACACTAAATAATGACAATATAGCGACTAATATACCGTAAGCGGTAGCAATACTGAATTGAATTGGCTTCTGTCATTCATCAATTTGTATAGTTTAATAACACAGAACGGATCGAAATTCAACAGTTTTAATTGGACAAATGGAGAGTATTTGCTTTCTCACACGAATTTGTGTTTGCATCTAGTCTTTAATGATAGATAGATAGTCAGATAGTCTGCGTAGCAAGCGTTTCCGTTTGGTTTCGGAGCAAAGAAAGACAGAGGAACGGGATTCTCGGTTTTGGCCGCGCGAGAAATGAAACAAGAGCGAAAAAATGAAAGTGGGGGGAGGGGGAGGGGAAGGAAGGGAACGCCTGCAGACAAACCCCTCGATTTTGAAAACCTGCGTTCGGCGCCTGATTGGCGCGGCTAGTCGAACAATGTTGACATGTGTCGATCAAAGGTGTGTTTCATACTGAGTGGACGGTATGGTACGTGACACGTATATCAATTTTCAGTGGTTGATGTTTATTCTGGTCGGCAAGATTTGCCGTCCAATGCAAGAACATTTTCTTTGACCTCTTTTGAAACGTAAGGCTCTTCTTGTGACTAAATAAGGGTTTCAGGTCGCTTAATTTATTCTTCAACTGAATAACTAAAAGCGATTTTCTTTTGTTCGCGAATGCGATGGTTTCCTGTAATGTGTCATGCTGGGCCCAGCTCGTTGGTGTTTTTTTGAGAGATACAGATGTTGAATTCTCTCAGATGGTCATTTACAGACTGTTCTGTTAGACGGAATAAAAAGACAAATGTCCAAAGCCTGTATTGATCGTTCGGACTCATTGATATTTCAGCATAAACGCCGTCCACGTGTTACAAAAAATACAAATACAAAAAAATTTATTTTGGGTTCACATACGCGTCCTCTAAAGTTCATTTCCGCTCCACTAAAAGCCAAACATTTTATTGGTCAATTATGACAGCTGATGGCAACATCAAATTTCGGTGCGCGAACTCAGACATAACAGGCCAAGTAGGCGGTTTTCAAAATCCCGGGGTTTGTCTGCAAGCGTTTCCTTCCTTTCTTCCCCACCCTCTCCCCCCTTTTACTTACGCCATTTTACTTTGCTTACCGCAATATCTTGACTTCTGGTTTAAGATTTGAACAATGGCGACAAAGGCTACAAGTGTTGGTTCACTTGCTTTGTAGCAAAAAAAGTCAAAGTCGTCTTCTGAAAGAATCAGGGAAAGGCTTTGAAGAATTTTTATTGTTTTTGTTGTTTGCATCTTGTACATGCAGCGTGGAGGGGGACATGGGGGTTTGCGATATTGGGCTTTTTTTCATGCGGTATTTCGGTAATTTTGATTTTAACGTGCGGTATTTCGGTATCATCTAGCTCTGCGGTATGCGGTTTTTCATCATTTTGGCTGACGGTGAAATAAGATTGTTCACGGTATTACGGTCCGTTTATTTGCGCCTTCCTTTCGATACAATATGCAAAACAAAACACAGTTGGACATAAAGGTCAACAAAAGTCAATATTTAGAAGTCTTGAGACATAACGGTAAATGATTAAACCATTGTTGGTTGTTTTGTGACAGTTAATGGTCGATAATATACAATGTGATTGTCGTTGCATCCAATGACAACGAGTCGCCTCAAGTTACCTTACCAGGCTTTTCGATCTGTGTACGTGTGCCAGTCTGCTACACAGCTGTTTCTAGTGTCGTCACGCAACGCTCCTCCCAACTGGGGAGGAGCGTTGCGTGACGACACTAAAAACAGCTGTGTAGCAGACTGTACCTGTGCCGCCAATTCGAGGTCTTACACGTTTTGTCACAATGGTTGAGGTCGCTGAGACGGTGAAGACGGCGTGGTCATCATTGACTGTGTGGCAATTTTTTATGAAGAGGGCGAAGGAGGCGAGCATTATCGCAATAAGAGTAAGTTTAGATGTTGGGTTTCGAGAATTGAAAGACGCCTTATAAAGTTAAAAAAGAAAATCTGGTAAGTTTGCCTCTTACCAGCGTGGCTTGTTTGACAGTCGAGATAGTTGACCCCTGAGATACTGACGTACAAGACTAGAGACTCATCCAAACTCGCACTAGACGTGCGTGGAAAGGGTTTTGGTTGGTTTGTTTGTTTGTTTTCGCGCTTTCAAGAGTTATTTTTATCGGAGTTAGTTAGCTGTCGGGTCGACCTACCAAAAGGTTCTTTTCAGTGAAAATTTGCAAAACTACCAAAATATTTAAAAAAATATGGACATCTGGTGCATAAATGCCTGAGATAATTAAACGCGCTAGATGGAAGCACCCATAAGTATGCGGTATCGGTATTTAGACGATTTTCGACGGGGTATTTCGGTATTTGCCATTTTTTCTTACGGTATTGCGGTATTGGGTACCCCCCAATGTCCCCTTCAGCGTGGAACGATTTTACCGTTGTATCCCTCTGAAGGCCAAAAATGAAGTGGGCAACCATCCAAGTCATGATGCAACTTTAACTGCTGACCTCAACGTGCCAAAACTCTATTATATTGCAGTCTCGTTTTCCAAGGTAGTTTGATGTGATGCATTTGGATATCTTGGTAAGGGTGGACAATCCTTTGAGCTTTCTATCCTTTTTTCTTATTTTACCAGGCACAGCTTTCATCGAATTTGGAAATTTTTGATAGGAAAGATGATCATTAGAATTATTTGAATACCAAGGTGTTTGTGTGTTTGTATCATTCCCAGAGCAGCCATCAATTCTTGAGAATGTCTGCTGTTTGCATTACAGCTGTTTCAAAGGAAAAGGCCAGAACAATCCCCATGTCTCCTGTTCATTGATGTAATTATTTATTTTAATTTTGTGATGTCGCTGTTATCGAACTGTGTTATGATGAATTTAAAACTACAAAATGCTTGTTATCATTGAGTTTACCAATTCTGTTTGCTCTTGCGCCGATGTCGAGAGCCGAAGGAGATTTCAACACTTGATAAAATGCTTTTGGGGTATGGGCAGCTTGGAATTGAGCCATTATGATGACAATGCAACCATCTCTCACACTAATGAAAACTGTAACAACCTGCGAGGAAGCTCTCCATTTAAGGGATGTCGAGAGAAATATTAAAATGCGTGAGTGGTACGCATAACACGGGAGGAAGGTGTGGGGATAGAAAGTGAGAGCTCACTCACATGTTCACTTTCCACTTAAAATAAAGACGTTGCTACCAGTCTAATATATAGATTTAGCCAGGGCTAAAAGTGAAGCTCTGGTTAATAATACTTATAAACAAAAAAAATTAAATCGTGTAATACTTAGCAGAGACGACAATGAAAGTGGCTTCAAGACTAATAGATCTAATTAGCACATAAACAAACTGCACGTGCAGCACGCTTATTTGTCTTTCGCTTGCCGTTATTTTGCACGACTACAACGCTGTTTTGTACGACTAAAACGTCAAACTTCTTATTTACACATTATTTTTATGGAGGAATTGTCGTATGTGCTTACCCAATATTTTGTTTCCTGTGTTGTGTTCATGTTCGCTCATATTTTCCACTGCCGCTCATTTTCGCCTGGCTGGCCTCTAGCATTTTTCATTTTCTCACCGCCGCTTTGAATTTCCATGTTTTTTTTCCTCTTTTGTTTTCAGTAACTCGCTCTAGGTCTTTCTCTGTTATCCACGTTTGTGTAAACATAAAAAATAACGCCGAAAAAGACATGACTTTGTTGTTTTTTTTTCTTTCTTAAAGTCCGGGCAGCCACGTGATTTCCTTCCAAATAAAACCTTGAGTTGCATTTGGGTTGCCATACCTGTTGATTGAGTTATTTTACATTGGTATGCCTGTGGTGTGGACGGACGGTCGGTGTACGGTCACGTGATTACCAAATTTCCTCGGATGGGTAGTTTACCACATTTCCTTAGCTATGGGGCTCCGCCCACGTGCAGCGCAAAGCACCGCGTGTGGAGCTCCGCTATAACATTTCTTGGTAGTCGTGTGTGTTCACTATTCTGTGAGCCACTGCAGTTTACATCAGGAATTCCGAGGAAAAATGCCAGCTTTTTACATACTAAACAATGTCCATTATGGCTCCACGTCTCCATTTTCACCCATTTCAACCAACCCTGAACAATTAGCAACAATGCAACAGTCACACTTGCCTGGCATAAAAAATCCACACATAGGCTTGATACCACCATAGCCAAGTATACGCTCCTATAGTGTCTTGTTCAGTCAACAATTGGAATATTTTGGCTTTGTATCCATGTAGTCAATTTCAAGAGCATTCGTCCTTCCTGGACATACATGTAGCCCATTTAGTATAAATAAGAATAATTAAAAGAACTGAGGCATGTATAAGGTACATGACCTATTTGGAATGTCTATAGATTATTGATTACAAAATTATACACTTCAGTTCATCAGGATGCCACATGTTATTCAGCTTGCAATAGTAATTTATCCTCACTGCGTATCTATTGTCGCATCGCAGCAAACTAAGTTATGGGACGAATCCACGACTGCCATGGTCATGTGGTCACTGCCACCAGGGGAGGTGGGAGGGGCAAAAAGCGCGTCGTTAAGGCAATTCTGTCAAACTGCGAGGTTTCACGCAAAGGATCATAAGTTACCCCAATTGTCAACAACTCTTGGGATTAAAAGAATGCAGGCATGTTTGTGAGATATGCTCATTATATATGCTGTGAGAATAGTAATTTATCCTCACTGCTTATCTATTGTGGCGTCACGGCAAACTAAGTTATGGAATGAATCTGCTCCTGACCCACGACAATTGCTATGCTATGCCAGCAGCACAAGAAACTGCGACTGAACCACACAGCCAGAAAATGCCACACAACAGCTAAGAATGCCAAACTACTATATTCCACAATCGCTGATCCTTAAGCCTCAAAACCTGGTTACAAGAGAGCCACCCTAAATCCGAAGCTTTGTCTCCAGTAAAAAAATCCACAACAAAAAAGGTGGGGTCCCTAACAAGGATGCAGATATTGACAATGGAGAGTGACGTGTTGGCTGCTATTTCCCCCTAAAGTGGAAGAGGAGCCTCTTAAACTTTAAGAAGAGCAGAGGAACCACCTGCTTTGGGGTATCGCTGAACCTGCCTGCTCTTTCCTAGTAAATTTCAGATATTTTCACCAGCGAATGCGAGAGAGGGTTTGTAAAATTGATGCAGCCCATCCGATTATAAATAGCGTGCAGCTTCCCAATGAGGGAGTCAATAGAACCGGCTGCCAATCAGCAGGGGCACTGACACAATTTCCTATCACATGTCTGCGAGTGAACAACTGTTCTGCCTGCCCTATCTCTACTAAAAGGAAATTTAACAATATCCTCGGATGAACCTGAAGGTATGGACTTCAGGGTGGTAAGGGCGGTGAGGAAACTAATCAATTGTCGCTCCATGGTGGACTTCTGTCTCTGATAGGTTTTCCACTGGACAAGGACCCAACTCCACAAAGTGGTTATTAACGGCTGTCATGTCTAGGTCAGGCTGGGAGATTGAAGGAACAGGGGTTCCTGTTGAAGCGCCACATACTTGACAAAAATTGGCATTCCGGTCATTTGGGTATAGGCACGCAGCACACCGTTGGACTTCCTTCCAGGGGTACAAAACGTACAGAACGTAAACCAAAAAGTCAACAAATGCAGCGAAACGCCCAAAGGTCCCATTGTAATGGCTTGGGTAGCCATTTCAAAGTTGCACCAGATGGGAAAAGCAAGACCGAGGTATCACTCTTTTCCCTAGCAAAAAGTGATCAATGCTCGTGGCTTGCAGCAGCACCCACCAGAACCGTCGGGCCGAATATCCGGCACAATTATTGTGAAGGGGGGTGATAATGCTGGTCTATGAAAAATGGAGGAGCAGACCGATGAGCAGGAAAGGTGGAAAAACATAGATATTCTCCCCAAGAGGCAACTGCTGAGCAAACATACAGATGCTGGATGATGCAGGGGTCTGGCATAGCGAGAAATGCGGAAGGAGACAGCCAAGCTGATCAGTGTGGCAATTACTATCGAGCTACATGAGATCAAATGCATGCCGTCCAAACATCCTTTGGACAAGGATCATGCTCCCTGCTCCATGGCCAGGCTGAAGGACACGGCCTTTCCAGCAAAATGCTAGAGGGTCTTCAGCATAACCGCCTTGGAGGTAAGAATATCCTCTCTTAGTGCCTTGAACTTGACTTCTTCCCCTCCGGTAGTAAGAAAACCTGCCGGACAGAATCACAGATAAACCCAAGGAAGGTGATGAACGTGGAAGGAGAAAACGGACACTTGCTTAGACTGATAAAATATCCGGCCTCATTAATGATAGCCATGAAGGCGACAAAGAACCGGCGCAAAAATTGTCCGGGTTTTGAAATCGAAGATCACGCAAAACTCTAAGAGCCAGATTTTGTGCCACCATAGAAGGAGAAGCCAAGGCTGATCGGTACCCTCCATCCACGTCAATTAACCATGCATAAAACTCCGTCAGCAGTTCTCCCGTAACTCATCATGGACATGGTTTTTCTCTGTCTTTACATCTGCTCCTTCATCAATGTCACAATCGCTTGAGTTCCAATCTGTGTTGAGCGCATCGTCATTATCGCTTTGATCTCCTCTAACCACACACAACGTAGTTCCTCCTTCACGTATTTATTGTACTCTTCCACTTATCGCACCAGTTCTTCCGCTGACTCAAGAGGTGTTTTAAAAATGTGACCATGCGATAACTTGTTTTCTTTAAACTCCTTCACTTCTTGGAGCCAATTTAATTCTTTATCCAAAAGTGATCCTTTGTCAACATTACTGTCCCTGATAATCTCAACAAATTGGGTCAATAGTTCCTCGCATTTGACGGGAAGAGAAGAGGAGTCGACGGATGTATCTGATTGACTGGAGTCACTTGAATTAACCTCTTCTTCGCATTTTTAGTCAAGATCCGAGCCAGACTCGTCGCTGTCCTAAATTTCAAAAAATTCTGGCTGATTACAACTGACTACGTTCTCCGTGTTAGCACCGTCAAGTCCTCCATCGCTGTTCTCTTGTGAACCATGATTCTTCCTTTCCTCTTTGCTGCTTTTACTCTTCTCTTCTTCATAACTATTATTCCATAATCTTCTTGTGAGGTTATCGTATTCTTCATCACTGTCAGCAGTGGTTTTCATCGCATTATCTTCTTTTCAGTCTTCCCCTCGATGCTTCCTGTTGTTGGATGTTTTCGTCATTTTGTTTAGTGCTCCTCTTGCAAGTGTTTCATAATCTTCTTTAATTACTTTGGCACTCTCTGTTGGGCTGCATGGAATATTATTTTTGACTGTTTCATTGTCTTCATGGTATGCATCATCACCCTTGTTAACTTCGCTTCCACTGTTGCTTGTCTCTGAAATGGTTTCTTGCCATCTTCTGTGTTTCAGCTTGTCTCCTTTTTCTCTCTACTGCTCTATCCTGTCGATGCTTAATCTTCCAGGCTGCTTTCTTTACTTTTTCATCAGCCCTTGTGGCTAGTTCATTTTAAAATCCTCATCTTTGAATTCATCACTATCCTCTGGGCTGTATTTAGACCCCATTTCCTCGCATGTGTTGTTATCTTCATCCTGCCAATTAGCCTCCTCGTGACTTTTACTGTGTTTCTCCTGCCTACCGTTTTCCTGTTTTTTAAGTGAGATTCTATTTTTTTGAACAAAGCTGGTGGAGCGTGTGATAGCGCGTTTAAATAAGCAGGTGTTCCTGGTTTTAGTTTGTGAATACGTGTCTGCAAATGTTTGTGGAGTTGAAATATCGGTTTCTTCTTACTCTTGCACGGGGCTAGAGGACAAAATTTTATCCTTTGATTGGGCAGCTTCCTTTTTCGAGTTACATAAACATCCAGTTTTCTTTTCATAATTGGCATTTTATGCACATCGCTTTGATGGCAGCTTAAGTTTTGAATCATACTTCCACATTTCTTACACTTTTTGGATTTTGTTTTCGTGCGACTGGACCAACTGGCAGGTACGCTGGACACTGAAGCGCTTTTATCATCAGCAGCGGTAGACAGATCTGCTTGACTTGCCATTTCCTTCTACTTCATCTCAATTAGTACTCTAAGAAAAAAAACAACTCTATTACCACCTGGCAGTCCTCTATACTATGTCCGTGATTGCAAGCCACTTGGTGCAAACAAGAAACTGAAATACACGAACGTGTGAGCAGCACCTTGCGAACTGTAGCTGCAAATACTGTTTCACATGAGAAAACTAGCTGAAAGTCATCAGGGAGTTAAAAGCTTGTGAATCTTTTGGACTTGCTGATAAAAACCCAGCTTAACTTTTTGGTTGTAAGTCAGGTGGCCACTTTAGTTTTCATAAATAATGTACCATGTGTTTCAATTAAGTCTCAACGGTTTGGTGTTTGACTTTAGGCTTGTGAATTACAGTCCGTTTTTAGCTTGGAATCACAGTGGTTTTAAGACAATGAAATTGTTATAACACCCGCGAGGAACAAGCTCGCTAGCATGTTCTTGTGCTCTTGCGCTGAGGAGAATGTGCACTTGCTAAGTTTAGCTACTCATGATAGTAACTTGTACTTAACTTCTTTTCTGAACTGTCGAGCGGTGAGCCTCGTACAGTTCGATAAGAAGCATATAACCCCAAAGCGACTAAATTCCTCTTATCTGTTTAGAACCATGCTGAGGATTTTTAGCCGTTCAATCAGAGAGCACGGAAATTTTTTTGCATTTCTGGTATAAGAGAATTCAAGGCTAAAAACTTTGAATTGTAATGCTTGTGTGCCTTTCTTTCTCAAGGAGAAGTCAACAACCGAAAGAAAGGGTTCTGTAGCATAAAAGATATAGTAATTATGCTGCTACAAAATGCAACCTTAGGAAAACATAAAAAGCCACAAATAAGTGGTATGGCTTGAAAACGAAAACAAGCATAGGTTAACGCTTTATCGTTTGTCTGGTGATGGAGTCACTTTAAGATGTTGATTGCGACGTTTCAACTGCTATTACTGCTAGTCTTCATCAGGCGATGAGGTCGATTGGTTACCTGTCGCTTTTTTGTTGTCATTGGTGCATTTTGATCCTCATTATATATTATTTCGTAAAGATGTTGTTCCCTCTCTGGGCCGATTTGTTATCGGACAGTTGTTGTGTTTCTTGATTGTAGGTATCCACCATCTCTGGTTATGTAGATAACCTCATCAACTGTGCGAGTGTACCAATGTGGGTCACGATCAATAAATTTACCTAGCTCCAAATTAGTGTTGATTTTTGGCATGTGATCAACCAATGTTACTTGCATGATGGGATCCACGTTCCAGTAAGTCTTACGGGAATTGCTTTTAACGATTAGTTATGGGTTTTCGTATAAAATTTTTCAGGAAACAATTTCTTCTGTCTCTTGTTTTCGGTTTGTTCTTTCAGAACATAAGTTGAATACACGATCGTGAGACATGCTTATCATTACATACATCACTTCTGCGAAGATGTCAAGGAATTTTATACAATTTGTACTTTCGGGTTCAGCTGCTAGGGAATTTTATTTGAAAATATGTTACAATTTATTCTAGATAGATAATGAGTGATTTTGTAAACATATTATCGGATGAGGTTTTTGTGATATCTGGAATAATCAAGGTCAAGGTATCAGCCGAGCTGAAGGCTGAGGCTGATAACACTTACTGAGACGTTGATTATTTAGGATATCACAAAAACCGAATCTAATAATTTTTTTATTATACATTGTTTTGAAGAAAATAACAACAAACACACCGTCGCATTTAACCTGAATTGGTTTTGTTATTGGAAATCATGCATTGTATGCGTAACCTACAGGTTAGTCAGTTATCTGCTAGCAGTTAACTGACTAATTTGTAGGTTGCACTGATTTACAAAATTAGCTGTAGGCTTTTAGCCAGCGAGAAGACAGATAGTGAGTACAATGTGTAATTAAAAAAGGTTATTCGCGCTTATGGTCATCCAAGAACCACTAGGTCTTACGGTGCATGTCATGAGTAGTCGACTTTGTCTTGTTCTGAGGATATTCCGATTTTGGTAGAATTTTATGCTGTAAAAAAGTAATAAATTGCATTTTGCAGTGCATCATTTACATCACGATACAGTTTTTCTTAAGCACTCGCACGACAATCTCGCTTATCAGTAATTCCATATTACAAAGTAAAATAATCTTGAATGGTTCCGTAAAAGTCAGTGGCATCGGGACAGAGTTATATGCTTCATGTTATGTGCTCCTGGTTTGATGTAACATATCCTAGTCATGATACTAGCTTGCGGGCTCGTCTTTATGGAACTGGTGTAGTGCGTGCCTCATAGCGGGGCTCCCGCGCGCGCGAAGCGCGCGTGGGACAGAGCCCCATACCCATGGAATATGGTCAACCTCTTTTCGTTTGGTTGTCACGTGATTGACCGAGCGTACGTACGTACGCGTCTACAGATTGTATGGGTGGGGTAGGGG